TTTGCCGTCCTCTCCTGCTTAGCAACGTTACCTGATATCACTAGTTTAGCTTCTCTGCTTTTGTTCAGTATATTGACAAAAGGATTGGCTCAGCTGGCTTCACACGGATATCAGCTTGAGTGGCATTCCCATTCTTAATCCATCCATAGGTTTAATATGATGTCAGCCCCCCTCTTGCAGCGATAACAGCTGCAAATCTTCTAGGAAGTCTTTCCACAGGTACAGGATTGGTCACCCTGATGTTGGACGAGAAGACCTGGCTAATTCATTCCAAAGGTCCATCCATCAACCTAGACATCCATCCATCCATTCATCATCCCATATACCCATCATCCATCCATCCGTTCTGTCAGGACTCTGTGCTGGTGTGCAGTCATGTTGGAACAGGAAGAGGACATCCCCAAACTGTTCCCACAAATTTGGGAGCATGAAATTGTCCATAAAGTCTTCTTATGCTGAAGCATTGAGAGTTCCTTTCACTGGATCTGAGAGGCTGAGCCCAGCTACTGCAAAACACCCCCACACCATGGCACAGTGCGGTCAGACAAGTACTGTTGACTATTGAACCCAGACTTCTCCATCAGACTGAGTTTGCTTCTTAAATACCAGGTACATAATTGGCAGGAACCCTAAACCTGACCTCCAACAAGAAAACTCTGTCCTGCTCAGGGAGGGGTAGCCATGTATGTGTCATGTGATTTCACAGATAACTGTAACTGAGTATCCTCTGCGTAGCAATCAGTATCAGGTTTTCTAGTAATAGTACCAAAGGGAAGCATCTACATTGTGGATTATACTTTCTGCACAGGCTGGCACGGTTTTAGAACATAGAAGTAAAAACTCAGATATGACTGAAGGAGGGATTTTTGAATCTCCTCTCCATGTGTTTAAGCCACCTGAATGTGTGACTGTATGATCACATCACAATGCCCAGTTATTGTGGAAAACTGTTATTCATGGACAGGTTGGGAGGACAGTGGTAAGGACTCTGCTTGCCTGTCTGGCTTCAAAGCTGAAAGGAAACCTGGGTTTGTTCCTGTTTTCCTCAGAGGACAGTAAGTTGTCCTAACTTTGCTTCTTTTTTGGAAAGTCTTAGACCTTAGAATACCATTTTGTTTCTAGCGTATGACTCATGGGGTTTAAGGCATGTGACTGTGAATTATTACAGGGATTCATGCATCTCTTTGTTGGGTCTTGTTGAGGTAGCTTCTCTCTCAGCCTTGAGTTTGTGAAGCAGAACGTCTAAGCTTCCTCTGGTCTTTCAGAGTGAGCAGCTCAGAGGTTCACACAGGTCGTTGGTCATGTTGGACATCTCGTTTTGGCTCTCAGCGAAGGCGGTCGCACTTTTTCTCCTCTCCTCCTCACCCTTATCTTCCCTGCTTAGCCTCTTGTGTCCTTGTCTTGTCTTGTGTGTGTTACTTTCCCTCGAACAGTCTCTCACTGTCGTTCTCTAAAACCTAAAAGAGAATTATGGATTTGATCAACTGGTCTCTGAA